GGGAACCCTCTCGTCCGCAGTCGCGCATCGAAGAAACCTTTGAGAAACCAGTTTTGTGGCAGTGACGCACGGTACATTTTGCTTCCTACATTCGCATGGCGTGACCCCACAAACAATCTGCGTCAGAGCAGGAGCAATACCATGGTGGAAGGAAAATAGGTGTGCTATTCCCGTCATATGCTGACGTCACCAAGATTGCAAACACCATTTAGAAAAAAAATATGTAAACAATAACAATCAAATCAAAACAATATATACTTAAGTTATATGGCAATATAATCAGGTGATTTTGGTTTGCAATCTGGGTGACGTCAGCATACGACGGGAATATAGCACACCTATGTATTTTCCTTCCACTATGGGAGCATACATAATTTTTGTGGAACAATATTTCAGATTCTGAAATTCCAATAGATTATATTTTAGATCAAGCGTGTTTATTAGTGTACCTTTACATTTAACTACCCAAAAAACCACATTTTCTTTCCAATTCATTTTATTTGCTTTTTGTTTACAACAATTAAAATCCTTTTTGGTAAGTAACTTATGCACGATAACGTTATTATGAACTTTGTTTGAAGTTTATCCATAGTAAAGTTTGTAATAGGAGTAAATTGGTTGTTCAAAACTAAAACCAAGATGAACGATTTTAATTGTACAGTTTTAATTGAGTCTGTACACAGAAATCTGGAAACCCGGTCTAAGAGAGAGACTGTTTTGTTGATTTTGAATGTCGATTAAAGGTTTTTGCTCCATCCAGTAATTTTTCTTAAGTTTTTTTTATAATCTCTATTGTAAAATATTTCAAGATCAACATGCTGAAACTCAATTTTACAATTGAAATTGCACTAAAACAAATAGCTATTATTTTATAACTTGCATCTCCGTAAGATTATTAAGATTGCATATCCGCAAAGATTATTTGCTATATATTCGACAAATATAATATTATTTCATTAATAAAAATATCTGACGTGTTTCAAAATATATTTATAAATAATTTAAATATATAATATAGTTTCAAAAATATTTTATATATATATTTAAAATATTCTCAACACATATTTTAAAAAAATATTTAATAGGAAAAATATACATATAAAATATGTATATTATAGATTCTATTCTTGTTTTATCAATATATATTATGAATCTATTTTATATATTCAAAACTTATATTTAATTTATATTTTGCATTGCTTTTTGGTAATATTTTAAATATATATTTGAATATATCAAACTATTATTAAAGATATTTTATATATATATTTTATTCGAGGTTCTATCAAATACAACTTTAAATATATAAAATATTTATAAAATACATATTTGTGCTACTAGGGAAAGTTACTTTCCACATCGGTTAACTTAAACGTATTTAAAGTACTACCTCAACCTCACCATTTAACACTTTATTCCGGTTGACATTTTCAGTATCAAAGGGGCTCTTGTCCATTCCGTGAAACACTAAGAAATAAGGACATTAATGCGTTACCAACATACAACAAAACAACACAATACAACAATCCAACACAGGCCACGAACTATTGATACATAAACAATATAAAGGCGTAAACAATTCGTGATGGTTTGCCCAACAAATGTTTTACTCAAATAGGTTATCATTTTCTTAGCATACCGGGTAAGCTAAGATTTGGAATCCAGACAGAAAAAGCAAAACTTTTACAGAGTTAAGACATCACTTAAATTGAATACGGACGGCTCTAATAAATAAAGTGCAACACCAACGATATCAAATTTGTAAACTACCGGTTCTAAGGAAAAGAACCAGTACCTACGTAAGAACCTACCTAAGAACTATAGTAAATCGGACCAATTAAATACATTAATATCTAGTCCCGAGGTTATTGATCTCTTGCTTTTGGATTTTCTCGTAAAAAGTTATAGCGTAAACTTATCGGTGTCAGTTTGAAAAAAAAAACAACCTTACCCAAACAACTTTTTGTTATTTAATAGATTACGCATTCTCTAAACAATGATTAGTATATCTATTAACATTAGAAGGATGTGTGACGAAAATCACACAATGTTGGGGTTTTGGTCATTTGTAATTTTATTTTTTAAGTAGGTAGGCCATGTATTCTATGGAAAAGTACCGGTATCAAGGATCGTCGTCACAAAAGTTGTTATGAATAAATATGTAGGCTTACGTACCCAAGATATGAGCTATGGGCCTATTGGCTTTTTCTTACATAACGGATTTAATTAATCGCAAGTGCAATAATATAGTCTAATAGTGTAACCGTAAATGAAATTAAATGACTAGACATCGTCCAAATCGGAACCAGAAATTCTTTGAGTATAAAATGTTTCTTGAGTTTTGACAACCAGAAAGAAGAAGACCTTGAATCAGTGTTGTATAGGGCTGTGATACTGAAATGATCGTCGCCAATTGCTTACAAAAAAGGTTTCCACTCATTGACGGCGCTTCAATGGCGGTTGTGTAAAGTGTAAAGTAAAAAATCACAACTGCAGTGGGTGATTGTAACAGAGGTTTAACAGAGGAAGTGCTAAACTCGCTTTTCCAATGTGTCACTTTCTGTTTCTACTCACCGTGTGATGCAATCGCTGGACCATACAGCCAATAGGCCCATAGCTCATATCTTGGGTACGTAAGCCTACATATTTATTCATAACAACTTTTGTGACGACGATCCTTGATACCGGTACTTTTCCATAGAATACATGGCCTACCTACTTAAAAAATAAAATTACAAATGACCAAAACCCCAACATTGTGTGATTTTCGTCACACATCCTTCTAATGTTAATAGATATACTAATCATTGTTTAGAGAATGCGTAATCTATTAAATAACAAAAAGTTGTTTGGGTAAGGTTTTTTTTTTTTTTTCAAACTGACACCGATAAGTTTACGCTATAACTTTTTACGAGAAAATCCAAAAGCAAGAGATCAATAACCTCGGGACTAGATATTAATGTATTTAATTGGTCCGATTTACTATAGTTCTTAGGTAGGTTCTTACGTAGGTACTGGTTCTTTTCCTTAGAACCGGTAGTTTACAAATTTGATATCGTTGGTGTTGCACTTTATTTATTAGAGCCGTCCGTATTCAATTTAAGTGATGTCTTAACTCTGTAAAAGTTTTGCTTTTTCTGTCTGGATTCCAAATCTTAGCTTACCCGGTATGCTAAGAAAATGATAACCTATTTGAGTAAAACATTTGTTGGGCAAACCATCACGAATTGTTTACGCCTTTATATTGTTTATGTATCAATAGTTCATGGCCTTTGTTGGATTGTTGTATTGTGTTGTTTTGTTGTATGTTGGTAACGCATTAATGTCCTTATTTCTCAGTGTTTCACGGAATGGACAAGAGCCCCTTTGATACTGAAAATGTCAACCGGAATAAAGTGTTAAATGGTGAGGTTGAGGTAGTACTTTAAATACGTTTAAGTTAACCGATGTGGAAAGTAACTTTCAATTATAGGCCTACTTTAGGGCTACGCTTCATGGATCTATAAAACATTTTTTTAGTTTAATTATTGGACATATGGACCAACACGATCCGGGTGACATTTGATTGCGAAGCATTTATTTTGGCTTGAACTGTCAGATACTGTATTTGCGAAGGTTTATATATAATAGTTTTGCCAGCATATCTGCAAATATGCAAGCTAATTGCTGTTCTTAATCTTAATATAAGAAGGTTTCAACTGACTACTGTAAGATCCCCGTGCGTAGAACGGGCACACAGCTAGTCGGAAATAAAACAGAATTTTTTCCCTTCAGCTGATGCAAGCCTTGTTTATTTGTTTGTTTATTGATTTTAGTGTTCTGTTTTTAGGTTAGAAGTGGTACTGGTAATGCAGTGTTATCGTGTTAGGGGAAGACCGCGACTACGAAGGAGAGTATTTAGGAATGGTGCACAGCATCGGGAATAATTAAGACCAAATTACAACGAAGGTGAAGTGCAACAATTACTGCTATGAGCCCCTCTTATTTTAAAATCACACTATACGCATAAATACCGAAACATTATACCACATACAGTCGATCCATAACGATGACACATTTATAAGGAAAGATAAACGACGAACGACGAGCCTACTATTTAAGTTTTTCCAACTACCATCATAAGATTCCCGTAAAACAGTAAGGGAGACTGCATAATGACTTCCGACGAGGAAAAATCATTGATTCGTGCTGACTACGATATGTTGCAAGAGATAGTGACGTTCATTTAATCAGCTGATGCCTGTTAGTTCCTTCTAACAATTCCTTACATTCCTTCATTCTCGTTATTCTTTACTCGATTACTAACGTCCACCGAGCCGTATAAACTTATTCAATTCATCAAACCTGAACTTAATAACGACCTAATTTATAGGAAAATTCTAATTCAGGATTTAAACCTATGAAAAGTCAAGTGTGCATGAGGGATTTAAACAAAGTCAAAAAATGTGGCTTCGACATCGACAGCAACGCGGCAGTTTATTGTGCAATAAGTGTTATGTGTTTGTTCTATGAAACTATCTACCCGATGTGTTTTGTAGAAAATATAATAACATTTATGACATTACAAATCACACGAAAACTGTACAACAATTAGGGATTTAAGCCGTGTTTTTTTTTTTTTTTGCAATGCAACCTTATTTTTAGTTTGAAAACACGTTGCCGATGCAACTGTCAAAATCACATTGGCATTGTATTCAACATAACCTGCAATCCCGATATGATTTTGACAGTTACTGGCAATGTGTTCCCAAACTAAAGTTAGGTTACCCCACATTTCAAAACCCATGGTTTTCCTCTAAATTTTGTTCCATTTTCGTGTCAACTGTGAATAATGTGATAAATTTTCTACGAAACGAATCGGGTAGATAGTACTATAGAAGTTTGGTCGACCTAAACTCTCACAGATGAACCTTCTGGTTCATCATTGATATCGGATCAAAAATATTAGGATTGCTAAGGTAAGCCCTTACAATAGCAATTACATTTATCACATTTTTCAGGAGCCTAGAGGCAGGGGCGTCCGAGAATGCAACATGTCGACCAACCCGAACCACAGCCCTTCACCTCGCAGTGGCCTGTAGACATGAGGATGTGACCTCACTGTTGCTCTCATGGGGCGCAGACGCTCTACGGCGAGACTTGGAGGGTAGACAGGCCATACACCTAGCAGCGGCTGTGGGTGACCAGGGGATACTGAGGGCGCTGATAGACCACAACCCAGACAATGTCAACAGCCAGGTGGAGGCTGGGACGGTGGCCAGAGACAACGATAGCTTGGACTCTTGGAGTCATGACCACAGCTCTGTGGCAGACAAGGTATGTAGTGGACCTAGAAAATACATTATATCATGTGTTCGTATCGTTTAACATACTAAAAATCCATGGCAGCGATCTTCTGTTGTCCTTTACTAAGTTCTATCCGTACAGTTCATTCTCATACTCTACCAGCTCACATCTTCTGTAGCGGGTGGCAGAAGAAGATAATGTTTTAGAAAGAGAGATTAAATTCCTGACACCGAAACCCCTTGCTGTGTAATTTAAGTTGAAGATGAGTGTTGCATGATTGCGGTGTTAAGCTAGTTTTGTATGACCATTTATTGAAAGCATAATAATCAATGACAGCTGGGTTGAGTTTTGAGCCATCAAAATGCTAATTACCTTTATTTCAGAATGTACCGACGACCATTTGGTAAGGTGAACCCTCTAACCACTCAGATACTAGCTAGTACTAGGTCTAATAAAGTGTTTGTGACTTTGAAGATCACAGTTGACGAGGGTCAGCTTATATGTGAGAGTTAAGTACAGTAGATTGTTTTTGTAAAACTGTGATACAGGTAACCAACTGTAAACTCTTCATAGCAAACCTACATTTTTAAACAAATTACTAGTTGTTTTACAAAGTTTTATTTCAAACATATTCACTTGATGTTTGCAGATTCCTCCTGTCTCCCAAGGAGCCACACCCCTCCACCTTGCTACTCAGAGAGCCCATCTTCCTTGTGTTACTCTCCTGCTGGAGAGAGGAGCCAAGGTGAACATCCAAGATAGAAGAGGTCTGACCCCACTAGATGTCGTAGGAGAAATGCCAACAAAGACTGACACACTTGATGTAATGCCAGACTCCATCCCCTTCAAAGACACAGCTGTAGCCAGGATAAACAAACTGCGACAACGAATCGGCTTTCCTGGCACTCCTAAGAAAAAAAGCCTCAGTAGAGACGATTCTGGAGACTCCACCTCTTCAAAATCTTTCCTCCGAATAGCCTCGGAAGATCCCGAACCAATGTTTGAAACTAGGGCTTTGCCAGAAGAGCTAGATCATCGGGAATACAGACACGCAGCCGTTTCTAAATCTGCTAGTGTGGCACAGAAAATCGTCAATAGTTTGATTGACAAAGGTGCAAAAATGCCAAAGTCAAAAGTTATTGTTAAACAAGGTGGGGTGCAAAACCAAGTTGCGATGCAGGTCAATTGCCTTCACACTGCTGTGGAGCAAGAGGATCTTCATCTGATTGAGTTCCTGTTGGACAACGGAGCTTGCCAACTAACGTGGAACAGTGAAGGGCTTACACCTCTTCATCTTGCAGTCGCCAAGCAGCTTCTTGAACCAACCAGAGTGCTGCTGGAGAAGAACAAATCATTCCAGGTGACTATTACCATTCTATTACTCTATCTTTAACGTATTTGCTGAGTGATGATACTCCAGTGAGTGATTTAGAAGTGTTGAGAAATGGGTTGTAGGTAGTGAAATCAGAGTAGGCCTACAGAAAAAAGCTGAATTAGTTAGGGCCATTCTCTAGCCAAAAGTAGAGAGTTGTAGACATTTGTAAGGTCTGACCAACACTACAATAATTTAATTTGCATCTATGATTTTTCCAACCAAACCACCATTCTTTTTGGCACTAGGTAGTTGATGCCCGGGACAACCAAGGCAGGACACCCCTTCACCTAGCCGTTGCTCTGGAGTGGTTTCCGGGAGTCAGTCTGCTGCTAGAGGCCGGAGCTGATGTCAAGGTCACTTCCAATGACAAACAGACAGTCCTCCACCTCGCTGCTGCTAAAAGTCATCCTCAGCTGCTGGAGGAGCTTCTCACAATTCCAGAATCAGTCAAGGTAAGTTGGTAAACAATTTTGAACTGTTAAGTTAGCGGTAAATCAGTTGTGATTTTCTCTTTATGATAGTTTGGAGTACAGCATGGCCCAAAAAGCACCACTGTAGTTTGAAAACTATATAAATAAATGTCAACACAAGATGTATTGATGAAATCCAAAAATTATTTTTTTTGTACATCACATCTCCAAAAAATTGCTTAACTTAATTGTACCTATGCTTTTATTTTAATCTAGTCAAAACAACATAAAAGGAGAAGAACTTATACTAATGTTATGCTCAAAGATCATGAACAAGATACTAAAATAGATTAATAATGTTCCAGATCATCGATAGCCGTAACTACCTTCACGAGACACCATTGTGTTCAGCTGTGTGTGCTGGACAGCTGCACTGCATAGATCTGCTACTAGGCAGAGGTGCAGACATAACTACGGTGCTACCTGGAGATATCAGCTTACTTCATCTGGCAGCAGAGAGGGGTAATGTCGCCATCCTTGGAAAACTACTGAAGGACCCTCGTATTACATCGTTGAAGAACATACGGACTAAAGAGGGCAAAGGTGGAGTGACTGCTTTACACTTTGCCGCTCTTGGTGGATTTGTGTCTTGTGTCGAGATCTTAATCACCTCTGGATGTAGCGTGTTCGAGGTAACAACGATGTTCCCCCATCGAGGATCCTCAGCTTTACATCTTGCTGCGATGAAAGGTCACACTAAAGTCGTAGAAGTTATAGTGAGACATGACAAAAGCACACTAAATGTCAAAAATGACGAAGGATGGTACCCATTACACGTTGCCGCTAGATTTTCCAAAAAAGAGTGTGTGCGTTTTATGTTACTTAACGGTGCCAATTTAGGCGCCACTGTTTTTGATTCGGCTGGAAACGAAAAGACAGCATTCGATATTATCGTTTACAGTATACTACACCCGGTAACTTTTCTACAACGGATTTTCGATTGTTGTATAGAAGTTAATGATTACGCGTTAAATAGTCCCAAGTGCGAGATCAAAGTGAAGTATGGAATTCTTGAACCTTTGGGCCCAGATAGGAAACAGCTTAGGGTGCTTGATTCATTGCTGAACTGTGGGAAAAATGCTGTGCAGGAAAAACTTCTTTTGCATCCTCTGGTGGAAACGTTTCTTTATCTGAAATGGAAGAAGTTGAGAGTGTTTTTCTTCTTGATGATGGCTCTCTACTTGGTGTATACTGTATCTCTCACCACAATGGCAATGTCTTACTACGTGTTGAAGTCACAGTCAACTTTTATCAACACTTGTGTATCTGGATGTCGCTTTACTCTATGCATCTCTCTTGCCCTCATTACTTTGCAGGTTAGTGGACATTTTACTTAAATTATATTTTCACCACACTACGATGTTATTAGCTGTTTTACATACGTTAATTAGAGGCTGAAAGTTATGTTTTGCTGGCCATGCCAGCTGTCATCGTCATTTGCGGACCGAGCAGGTTTTTACATCCCTAGGGCCGCAAAATCAGCTGTCCGCTTGCATATTAAATACACAATCAGGATCCATAGCATTGCAATAAAATTGTTTTATTTTCACCGTTGCATAGCAAGTGTTTATTTTTATTTTTGCTGATTCCTGAAATTACTTCTTCACATAACCTTAAAGTTGCGTTGACTATCAGTGTGCATTAATTATTATTGTGAATAGTAGTAGTGTGGTGTAAAAATAGTGTTTGTACCAAGGACCGAAATGGTTTTGCAGCTCTCGATCGTTCATTGAAAAACTATCTCGGGTCGGCAAAACCTCATTTTCGGCCCTAGGTACGAAATCCTACTATTTTTACATTTACATGTTTCAATCAGCTGAAACATTCCACTCTTTTATAGTGTAATAAGAGGCGGTGTAAAATAGTATATTTTGTACCTAGGGCCGAAAAAGAGGTTTTGCCAGCTCGAGAGATAAGCCTATAGAGCTCGAGATAGTTTTTAAGTTCGAGAAGAAGTCGAGAACATAAAACGATCGAGAGCCGCAAAACTATTTCGGTCAGTGGTACGAACAATATTTTTCACCACACTATACCCTATTACCACTATTCACCACAATAATAATGCACACTGATAGTCAAAACAACTACAACTTTAAGGTACCGTAGAATGGGGTGAATAGAAACAACAGGGTGAATAGAAACAAAACTTCAATGAACGATTCACATTTGTATAACTTTGTTATACATTGATTTTAAGTAAGTAAGCGGACAGCTGATTTTGCGGCCAAGGGATGTAAAAACCTGCTCGGTCCCCAAATGACGATGACAGCTGGCATGGCCAGCAAAACGTAACTTTCAGCCACCAATTAACGTACCTATTTAAAACAGCTAAAAACATCATAGTGTGGTGAAAATACATTTTCATGTATAATAGTTTTTACGTCCCTCGTATCAAAGTTGTTTGTATCTTAAATGAAAATTATTCATAACGAAATTGGATCTTAATGTTTTTTGACGATCATTTGTACATCAGACAATTGAAAAATGATACTCCGGAACCATCACTTATTTTCTTTATTAACAGTGGATTGACAAAAATAACATTAAGTAACCTGTAATACAGTGCTTATGTCAATCCAGGAGGTGATCATGAATAATCTGAAATTATAGAGAGTTTATGACAAACCAACATTGGTCTCAATGTATAGTGCCAGCTTTAGTGTAACTTACAGTAACTATTTGCATGGTTGTTTCTTGTTTCAAATAAGCCTATAGAGTTTATGGTCCCATGAATGTTAGGTTATATCCCAGGAATGTTTGAGGCTGACATATTTATTGTATGTTTTCATGACATAAGAACAAGTGTTTCATAAGTTTTGACACGGTCTTGCCTAAAAGCCAAGAATCTACATGGAAGTTTATCCATGAAGATTAAATGATATGGGGGTTTTTCAGGAGTTGCTTCAGGTCACTAGGATGCAGCGGTATTACCTGAAGGACCTGGAGTCGTGGGTCAAGTGGTCATCATTCCTGCTATCCATGCTGGTATTGGTGGGTCATCAGCCCGCGGATTGGCTGAGACATGTATCCGCAGTTGCTGTGTTACTCTCCTGGCTCGAGCTGCTGTTTCTACTCTCCCGCTGGCCCTCTTCGCTGGGCTTCTACATTCTCATGTTCTTCACTGTGGCCAAGAATGTTATGAGGGTAAGATTTACATTTATTTTTTTATTTATAAAATCTAAGTATTAGGCCATATTTATGAATAAATCATCATATAAACATCATTAAAATGAATATTGAAACAAACTTAGGGGATGTAAAAAGTATTTGAGGCTGTTGGTTTGGTATTTCAGATTTCTAAGCCAATAAATCTGGATAAACGGAAGAGAAACATTGATGGTTGAATAATGAAAAAATATACTCTTCTTTTTCACATAATCAATATTTATTTACTTAGTTTTGAATAATTTATAAACTATAACCATGGTACTCATACATTTTTTGGACAACTACCACTAAATCCGTAAGTTCATAAGCTTCACCTCAATTTTATCCACAATCTATTTATATTGTATTTTTCAGGTGATGGCGACATTCTTCTTCGTCATCCTTGGGTTCATGTTTGCTTTCATGATCCACTTCAAAGCGACCGGCCAATTTACTGATTGGTGGAGATCATTTGCCAAAGTGATGGTGATGGCGATCGAGTTTGAGTATGAGAACATGTTTGACAAAGTTGAAGGAGTCGATGCTATAGTGGGACGAGCAATCTTCCTCTCCTTCATGGTGTTGGTGGCGATCGTCATGATGAATCTTCTGGTAGGTCTAGCCGTCAGCGACATCGCCATCCTTGAGAAGAAAGGGAGAGCGCAGCGTCTCGCCAAACAAATAGACTTCCTCAGCATGCTTGAGATGTTCGTCTACAACCGAAGTTTATTCGCCTGTTGCCCAAAGAAATTGGTCGAGGGAGTTAAAAGATGCAGAGCCGTAGACTGCGACCTGACCATAGAACCGGGAAGGCCCTCCCTGAAAAAGCGACACCCCCTTACAGAAAGTCTGAAACAGTCTGTGATAAACAATATAATTGAGAGGAAGAAAAATACTGAAGATGATTCTTGTGCTGATTCTGATGAAGATTGTGAATCAAGCACAAAAGAGCAGTCGCCTAAAGGAAATGAGTTTGAAATGGAAAAGAACGGAAAGAAAAATCCAGAAAATCAACAAATGAATAATACACTTCAGGTGATAATGAATGAGTTGAATTTGATAAGACAGGAACTTGACAGTATGAAAACAAATAGTCAGAGGCCATCTTTCACAGGTCAGCCACGAACTGTTCCTTTTAATGTTTTAGAAAATGAAAACTCTGGACTTTTAAGAACGTGATAGTTTTTTTAAGATATAACAATCAATAATAAGCTAATACTGTACATTTGTGAAATAGTCTCTTCTCCTGTGAAATTCCTTGCTATATTAACAGCTGTTAATATAGCAAGGAATTTCATATACCAAGTGTATAATATATTCACAAAAGTACAATTCCTAAACGTCATGGGGATGAGGTCACTGAACAATGCTCATCAGTGCTTTTTTCATTCCCCCTTTGATTTTTTCATGACATGTTGATTTTAATGATTTTAATTTTTTGTATGTTTATATTTCTACTGATCCTAAGAGTGTTGTCAATAATTTATCTGTGTGGGATATTAATTATGGCTTAACCCTAATATCCTGAAAAATGTCCTTTGTTCTGCCAGAATATCATCAACGTGATAATATGCTTATGGCACAACTTTTGGCACTTGGCTGAAACATTTTTCGAATAGAATTTTGAATATTGCTATGTATTGTGTTTTTACAATAAATATGTACATTTTAATGTCTTTCTACACAAATTGATAACTTTGAGTTTGCGACCTTTCATCTATATATAAATTTTAAATCGGTACTGCACTAGTACTCTGTGATTCATTTCAAGACCCCAGTGCCTAATTACAATAACCAGGATGATATTATTAACCTAAATATATTGCGTTATGTTACTCAATAATTTGACTTTTTTAAGCGACTGAGTAGATATAGGTGACAATGTATAAAACTTGTTTGTGATAATAAACCTTAGCATTGGATCATTTTTAACATGAATTTAGAGATTTATATCAGTGAAGCTTGAGGAAGAAATGTTTTAATTAATAATAGTAAATATAGCCTTAGTTTAAAGTAACATTTTCAAAGATACGAGCCTTTCTTACAATAATTTTAACTTAAAAGTCTGTTTTGTGTTTCAGTGTAGATTAAAGGAGTAGACAAATGAGTGTCTACTCCTTTAATCTATGGTTTCGATTAGAGCATAAATGATCATAGATGTATCATGTACCCCAAGTAGCACAAATATGTATATAATACGTATAATTTACCTACCGGCATGGTATAGCTTTTGTATACAATCTGTATAGAAATGTATACAATACAGATTGTATCTGTAAATATGTCCCACCTAAATATGTATTATATGCATATTGTATAAGGATCCAACTACAGATATGATACATATTATACATCTGTATATAATCTGTAAATTTTGATAGAAATTGATGCATACCTTAAATGTATAAAATACATATTTTATACATAGATGATACATATTTGATGCCATATTAATAAAAAGTGGCTCAAAATACAATTGTCATAAAAATCAATATATAAAATTATATACATTGATTTTTACTAACAGTTTTCTTTGAAGGTTTAATGTTATGGGAGGTGAACTATTTGTCATGAGGGTTGGTGTGTTGTATGATGGTAAAACAATATTTTAAGTCTTCATTAGAAATATGTGTTTTGTGATTTGTCAGGTAAATACCTAATTGATCTAGTTTAGGGACAACCTACTGCTGTTCAGTAGTTTCATCTGAAGCAGGCCCGTAGGACCTCGGGTACGGATCACATCAAGCTCCTAAGGTGAACCAGAGGGGCCCTAGTGAAAGTCTAGAAGGGGGAAGAGCACCTATTACAGTTACTACATCATTACAATACAGTATGCAAAAAATGTAATGTTATATTGTTGGTGTAGGCTAGCTATCAGCATTTATTTTCATATCATAATCAAACCAAAGAATGAGAGAATTATGCAATTTTTGTAGACTTCCTTAAAAATGGTAGCAGCCACAAAAAAACAAATGATTTTACCTTTAAAGAATATGTGTTTTAATGAAGTAGGGAAGATAAAGAATATGGCAACTACCTTAACAAATATTAGACCAAGACAGCTTCAATTTTTTTTAATTATCGTACATTGAAGATTATTTGAGAAAAACTTATTAAATTACCTTGATGAGAATAGGTACCACTTAACAAGCATTTTGGATAGTGCATTTATTTGCATAAAAAAGTAAATAATATGTTAATTATTATATTAGTGTTTATATTACCAAGCATTATTCAGCTGATAATAATTAATAGTAATAACTAGCTTGAATGTTAAGAAGATTAAGTTGAAATAGTTTAGAAAAATAACCTATTATTAATAATAATACAGTATGATTATAACAACTGAAAGTGTAAAAAAAAATACTAACTCACTTCTCACAACTGATGAATAATTTCTAGTTTTTTTAACTGAATCTTATTCTTACATGAAAATGTTGTTTTTTTAGTTTTCCATTTTCCCTGTTGTTTATTTAATGTGAGAAAACAAGAAGGCTAGGCTCAACAAATAATAATAGATTTTGTAGTAACTTTTTAGACCTATTCTAAATTGTGCACAAAAAATACTTGCACAGTAAAAAAAACAAAAAATAAATGCACAAAAATAAAAAAATGAGTAAAAATATTTGTTCAGATGTAATCACAAGTACCCTAATACATTCAAGTATAAAAGTTGTTTTTATAAAATTGTTTCTATTGTTTATTAACACACTTTTTAAAGGAACATATAAATGAAACAATGAAGAAATGTCAAGAAAAAACTATTTAATTAATCATCTGCGGTAGGCCTAAATTTTTATTTTTGACATAAATCCTTGTTCCTGCTTGGCGTAACCATTCGCTGGTTTTTTCTCAAATGTTGTGAGATCGAATGAGGACGGGTGTTGTTGACAAACTACACCTGAAACAAAATTCACACTTGTGTCAATGTCTGTATTCCTGTGTATAAGGTAATATTAGGGTACGCACAAGATTCACGCTTAGAGCAACATATCTTTTGGTAATCAATCCTTTGTTTTCTTGATGGCAAAACTTAGATTAATTCATTTTTAATGTTTTCATTTTTAACATTTTTTTAACACGTTTAGTGCTGACTACATCAATTGATGTAGTCGCGACATGAGCGGCCTACATCAATTGATGTAGTTGCGCAACCCCCTCTACATTAGTTCAGTATGTGCTCAGCCATTGCCGGGGAACGTTAAAATCGTTGCTAGCCCGTAGCTTAGAATGTAAGCTTCATTTTGGTGTAGGTTGGTACTAAAATTTCCCGTAAAATCCCGTCTGACAATGCTTTTGTACCGGTTTTGGGGATTTTCTCTCTTCAAGCCATATTCAGGGTGTCTAGTTTATTTCCATTATAAAATTCAAGACTAATTCCAGACTTTTCAAGACTAATTTCAGATTTTTCAAGACCAGTTTTTTCAACAATTAGTGGGTGTTGATACCAAAATGTATCGATTCTCGATTCTTGATACCGATACCAATTTTTTAGTTTAACCAAATTTTCTAAATAATACTACACCAACCCCTGTCTTTGTCATAAAGTAGTATTATGATAATGTGGTGTTTTCAAGTAAAGAAATGATGCAGCAATAAAAAATTCTAACTAGCAAATTTGGTTTTTTTTTATCAGGAAATCTTCCGCGTACTGTACGTTTAGACATCATCATTGACTGCAGCGGTTACAGAAACGTGATCGTCGTCGTCCGCGATCACGGCAAAATCATGAACATTTCCCGCGGCTGTTTAGACATCACCGTCGTCTCCCGCGGACACGGAAACGTTATCGTCGACGTCCGCAATCACGACAAAATCATTAGCATTTCCCGCGGCCGTGTAGACATCATCGTCGTCTCCCGCGGTCACGGAAACGTCATCGTCATCTCCCGCGGTCACGGATACGTCATCGTCATCTCCCGCGATCGCGACAAAATCATGAACATTTCCCGCGGCCGAGCAGATATCATCGTCGTCTCCCGCGGTCACGGAAACGTCATCGTCATCTCCCGCGGTAACGGAAACGTCAACGTCGTCGTCCGCGATCGCGGCAAAATCATGAACATTTCCCGCGGCCGAGCAGATATCATCGTCTTTTCCCGCGGTCACGGAAACGTCATCGTCGTCTCCCGCAGTCACGGAAACGTCATCGTCCTCTCCCGCGGTCACGGAAACGTCATCGTCATCTCCCGCGATCGCGACAAAATCATGAACATTTCCCGCGGCCAAGCAGATATCATCGTCGTCTCCCGCGGTAACGGAAACGTCATCGTCATCTCCCGCGGTAACGGAAACGTCATCGTCATCTCCCGCGGTAACGGAAACGTCGTCGTTCGCGATCGCGGCAAAATCATGAACATTTCCCGCGGCCGAGCAGATATCATCGTCGTCTCCCGCGGTCACGGAAACGTCATCGTCATCTCCCGCGGTAACGGAAACGTCATCGTCGTCTCCCGCGGTCACGGAAACGTCATCGTCATCTCCCGCGGTCACGGATACGTCATCGTCATCTCCCGCGATCGCGACAAAATCATGAACATTTCCCGCGGCCGAGCAGATATCATCGTCGTCTCCCGCGGTCACGGAAACGTCATCGTCATCTCCCGCGGTAACGGAAACGTCAACGTCGTCGTCCGCGATCGCGGCAAAATCATGAACATTTCCCGCGGCTGTTTTAGACATCACCGTCGTCTCCCGCGATCACGGAAACGTCATCGTCGTCGTCCGCGATCGCGACACAATCATGAACATTTCCCGCGGCCGAGCAGATATCATCGTCGTCTCCCGCGGTCACGGAAACGACATCGTCATCTCCCGGCGAACGCGACAAAATCATGAACATTTCCCGCGGCCGAGCAGATATCATCGTCATCTCCCGCGGTCACGGAAACGTTATCGTCGACGTCCGCAATCCCGGCAAAATCATTAACATTTCCCGCGGCCGTGTAGACATCATCGTCGTCTCCCGCGGTCTTGGAAACGTCATCGTCGTCTCCCGTGGTCACGGTAACGTCATCGTCGTCTCCCGCTGTCACAGAAACGTCATCGTCGTCTCTCGTGGTTTCGGAAACGTCATCGTCGTCGTCCACTATCGCGGCAAAATCGTGAACATTTTCCGAGGCCGTGTAGACATCATCATCATTGGCTTTCGTGGTTACGTAAACGCAAGACGACGATCGCGGCAAAATCATGAAAATTCCCGACTTTGAAATCAAATTTAAGA